ACCACTGACACCCTAACTACTCTCAGAGGAGGACCAACATCAAGAATATAAAAATATTTGTATAATCGAGCATATTCAAATCTTTGTGTTATCGAGCATATTCAAATCTTTGTATAATCGAGCATATTCATATCTTTGTATAATCAAGTATAATTAAAATCTTTGTATTATTGAGCATATTATAATCTTTGTATAATGAAATATATTTAAATCTTTGTAGTATTAAGCATATTCAAATCTTTGTATAATTGAGTAAATATTATTGAGTATATCAAAATCTTTGTATAATCAAAATTATAAAAATTGAATTCTTACCTGAAGATAAACATAAATAATATGAGAAGACCAAAAAATGTTGCAACATTATCCATGGTACGAAGCATGACGATTAACTGACGTCTCAGCGCTGGCATGAAACGAACAAGTTTTATAATTCGCAACAATCGGAATGTACGTAACACTGATAAACCACTGGCTCCACCCTGAGCAAGTTCTATTATACTGAAAAACAAAACAAACAAAAAATGAGTAGAGATAAGCTGACATGAAATGAAATTAAACAGGGTTTAACATCTTACTGTTCTGCTTCGTTGGAATTTGATATATAAGAGTAGGCCGTAGTGCCGCTGTCCGGGCAAAATTTCCCTAATAGCACACTGTATGGTGTATGCCCATCTGCATTTAATTGCCCAGTTCAGAGCAAAACAGTAGGACGTTAAACCCCATTTCATTTCATTTCCGACAGGGCTAATGAAGACGGGCATACGCCATACAGTGTGCTAAGAGGGAGTGTGAGTAGAATTAAATGTAATTAACCATAAAGAATATGTTTCAGCTGGTATGATTTAGTCGGCTTTCTAACCAAAAATCATCTTTTTCCTTTGAGTGATTGTGTCTGTTGAGAGAGATCAATTCAGGAACTTTTAATCAAGTATCTTCCCTTCAATTTGCAATTGGCTTCGTTTGGGGGGTTGGATGGCCGAATGGTTAGCACGCGCACGCTGTATAATACGGTTTGTCATTGAGTCAACTGGCGTGGTTTCGATTCCCCTGTTGTACGTGACAAGGAGTAGGGTCCGACCTCGTGGGTTTTCTCCGGGTCCTCCGGTTTCCTCCCACTGCCAAAGACCCCTACGCGCAAGCGAATTATTAAAATAAAATTAAACCATATGTTAGTCCCGAAAATGACCTAGTTTGTGTTGAGTGACGTTAAACCCCATTTCTCTCTCTCTTTCTCTCTCTCTTCAATTTGCAAAGTTCCTAACTGCCAGAACTGCAATTAAGTGACACATAATTCAGTCTTGTCACAGCTCTGTCAGTCCTGATAATATATGTAGTTTTTGTATTAGAATCGTGACAATATTAAAACACCGAGAATATGTTTCACCTATTATGGTTGGTTGAGATATTACTAATTCAGTTTGTGCATTCAGTTTTCCACTTGAATGATTCGAGGGATTGAGAGAAGTCAAGCCCCCTTCCCCTCCCTACCACCTTTATATGCACAAACATGTGATACAGGGGAGATAATCCAGAAAGTCTATTTGTTTACCTGAGAATAACAATAAATCCATCAAAGACATTAAATCCATCACTAATATAACCAAATAATCCATAAGCCGTAGCCTTGAGCGTCATTTCAAGAGCAAAAAGAAAACAGAAGACAATGTTGCTATATTCTAGAGCTTCCGTCAATCCTTGAGGCTGTCGAAAAAAAAAAATATTTTCATAAAATTTATTAAAAATTATATATCATTTGAATATTCATAACATATTAGAAAATTCATAACAATTTCATAAATTGTATGAAAATTATACATCATTGAACTATTCATAACATATTTAAATATCCATAACTTATTTGAATATATTCAAAGCATATTTGAATATATTCAAAGCATATTTGAATATATTCATAGCATATTTGAATATATTCATAGCATATTTAAATATATTCATAACATATTTGAACATATTCATAGCATATTTGAATATATTCATTACATATTTTAATAAAATATATGCAAATGATATATTATTTGAATAATCGTGTATTTGAATATTTACAGAATTATGCATTATTTGAATATTCATGAAAATATGCAAATTATACACCATTTAAATATTCATGAATATTTGCAAATTATACATCATTTAAATATTCATGAATATTTGCAAATTATACATCATTTGAATATTCATGAATATATGCAAATTATACATCATTTGAATATTCATGAACATATGCAAATTATACATCATTTAAATATTCATGAATATTTGCAAATTATACAGCATTTGAATATTTGTAAAATATTTGAATATTTCATAACATATTTGAACATATTCATAGCATATTTGAATATATTCATTACATATTTTAATAAAATATATGCAAATGATATATTATTTGAATAATCGTGTATTTGAATATTTACAGAATTATGCATTATTTGAATATTCATGAAAATATGCAAATTATACACCATTTAAATATTCATGAATATTTGCAAATTATACATCATTTAAATATTCATGAATATTTGCAAATCATACATCATTTGAATATTCATGAATATATGCAAATTATACAACATTTGAATATTCATGAACATATGCAAATTATACATCATTTAAATATTCATGAATATTTGCAAATTATACAGCATTTGAATATTTGTAAAATATTTGAATATTTGTAAAATATTTGAATATTTGTAAAATATTTGAATATTTGTAAAATATTTGAATATTTGTAAAATATTTGAATATTTGTAAAATATTTGAATATTTGTAAAATATTTGATGTTATAATTATTTGTTAGTATATCTAGCTACCTGATCATGATATTCAATTCCCATACTGAGTGTATTTAATAATATACAGATCAATATACCACGTTGAAACACCTGACTCTCAACAAACTGTTTCGTTTTATCCTGTATCCACTGTAGTTTCACTGAAATAATGGGGGGAAAATGATGATCAGCTGAGGCAAATATCATTCAAGATCAATTAAATAGAGAAATCAATAAATGTATATGTTAAAAAACACAACACAATTTATATGAAATACAATCACTGGTTTATACACATATAGCATGACGTGTCAACAAGTATTCTTGTATCGTTATATCTCTTATTGTTATCAAGTGCTATATGTGTATAAACCAGTGATTGTATTCCATATAAATTGTGTTGTGTTTTTTAATGTGCTCAGTCACTAAATGCCACTCAAGGATAATATTTATGTTGAATAAAATGGTATAATTTATGGGAATTGTCAACATCTTTCTAACCATTCTCGGCATTCCCAGTGGTCTGATTCCAGTCCACTCCACTAATCCCTGGGTTCAAGGTTCAACCATGGGGGAGACACATATTGATATTATCTGCCCTTGATGACTGTGCTTTTTGTATTAACAAATTGTGAAATAAAAAGAAAGGTTGCAAAGGGAAGTAACTCTCATCTTGTTGCAACAAGAGAGAGAGAGAAATGGGGTTTAACGCTCACTCGACACAAACTAGGTCATTTCGGGACTAACATATGTTTTTTAAAAATTTTATTTCAATAATTCGCTTGCGCGTAGGGGTCTTTAGCAGTGGGAGGAAACCGGAGGACCCGGAGAAAACCCATGAGATTGGACAGGCGACCCTACTCCTTGTCACGTATTCAGGCTTAAATCCTGTGGTGCCTACCATTTTTCTATATCGTAGATTTGTCTTTTTTCAGTATTTTCATGAAAATTTCTAATATATGTCAGCAGCCTTGGTCTCTGAATCCAGTCATCGCCAATGCTGAACAAAACATTATAGTGACCTCTAGTATACGGCCTTATTGTTACATGGGGAAAAGTTTCTATAGTAACTATTTAGTTGACAAAATTATGATGTTAAGTTACAATTCTAAGGAACATTTAACAGTTCAACAAATAAAACAGAGTTCTCGTTCTGTTATATCAAATGCCTTTAAAGGGAAGTTTGCCAGGAGTTTTTCGTATACTTAAGCTGGAAATTTTGCCCATAATCTCAAACCAAGGAATTTTGCTCAAGTATGATAAATGAATTTGTAAAAAAAAACTATAACGTAGGCTATTTCTTAAGAATTTTGATACTTTCTTTGTAAAAATGAAGAATTTTGATACTTTTTTTGTAAAAGTGAAGAATTTTCATACTTTTTTGTAAAAGTCAAGAATTTTCATACTTTTTTTTACAAAAGTGAAGAATTTTCATACATTTTTGTAAAAGTGAAAAATTTTCATACTTTTTTGTAAAAGAGCAGAATTTTGATACTTTTTTTTGTAATAAGAGCAGATATTTCATAGTTTTTGTAAAAGAAATAAAATATATAGATTTGATTGTTTTAGCAGATAGGCTAGAGTAATGATTTGAAACGAGAATTCTGATTTAAAGATTAATCCCTAAAGTCAACTAGTTTGTGGTAACAATATTATAACAACATTGATAGTTAATAGCTGATTAGAAAAAGCATTTCAGCAACTCTGCTGTTAATCTAAGGTTTGGTCAAGTTCAGTTGAGAATCAGCCTTGCTAACATAAAACTGAAAGTGTGCGCTTGCAGTTATTCACCGTTTTACTAGCAGTAATTCACTGTTTTACTGCAAGCGCTCTCAGCTTCATTTCAACTGAAAGTGTACTGCAGAAATTCAATGTTTTACTGCAAGCGCACTCAGCATCATTTCAACTGAAAGTGTACTGCAGAAATGACAATCATCAAGGGTTCTTTTACGGGCACGCAGATGTCTTTACAATATATTATACAACAACATTTTTCGGTGACATGTGTCATTGTTTATTGTGAACAGATTTAATCCCATCAAAAACTCCACAACCCACGTTTAACAATAAACATGTCACTGAAACTACTTAAAGGAAAATTGTTTCAAAGTTTGATGTTCTCAGTCTTATTTTTAAACTGAGACATGCCGACACCCAAAAACCCCACCCCTACCCAATTCTAATGATTATACAGAAGCTTCCATTCCCTGAATTCTACCTCCCAGCAAATTCATGAGCATTACCAATTAAAAGCTAGAAAGTTATTCAAAAACCCTTTCATAAAATTAAAAGTTACTTTGGTGATTTGTAATTAAGACATTCTCTTTTCCTAATTTTTTTTTTTTTTTTTTTTACATCCACAATAACTTCTTTATATTTTTACTTTGAAACAAATTTCTTTTTAAAAAAAACAAGAAAAAGATAAAATAAAAATTTACCCACGAAGAGAACAAAAACTCCCATGTTAGAAACAACGGAAACTAAACAGGGAGAAGAAAATAATTACCATTACCACAAAGACAATGTTTTTTCTTCTTTTTCTCCTCTTTCCAGTCATAGTCGGAATCGGAATCGTAATCTTTATCACTATCAGTATATTCACATTCCGAATGACTATTAGTGGTCTCGCAATCGCTGTGAGTGCGGGACAACTGATGCGTCATGGAAACCCGTTTATTTTCCGCCACAATATGATCGACCAATAGCGTATCTGCAAACAAACCTGAAGTAACAAGATTCACTATGCGGGGTCAAGGGTCGTGATTATGCCAAATGAGATGATGAATATGAACTACAAAGATTCGAAAGACATTTTTTTTTTCGATTCTACTAAAAAGTACCTGTTATTCATGAACATCTAAAATTTAACTATTTTCATGATGCAAATTTTTCATTGGTCAAGAGCCATTATTACATCTCATAGCCAATGAAAAGCTTTCATCTTTAAAATATTCTAGCTTAGATTTCTATGAATAATGATTCGGGATTCAAATAAATTTTTCTTTTTATCTTTCTGAAGCCTAGTTCACTAACCACCGTACTTGTTTTAACAAGGGTTTAGTAGGCCGCCGACCAGCCGCAAGAACCCCCCCTCCTTAAGACTGCCCGTTGTAGCACATACGGCAGTTTGTGAGCTAGGCTTAATGTTTGGTGCTTTTAGTAGAAACCAGGGCTCTCGTTCCAGTAATATTTGCTGGTCTTGACTGCCTGACTGACAGTGAAATTGACCAGCTGGAGAACTTACCTGTCAGTCAATTTACCTGTCAGTCAAAATTTCAGAGAAATTTCCCATAAAACACAAAAACGTCCTACTGTTCTGCTCTGAAGTGTGCTATGAGTGAAATTTTGCCTGGGCAGCGGCACTACGGCCTACTCTTATTCTTATATAAAATTCCAACTGCCAAGGGATCTTTTATGTGCACGCCAATGTATACATGGAACTTTGTTTTTTCGTCCCATCCAAACGACTAGACAGCTGTCGTTGTCAGTCCATCTGTCCTGCAACACTTAGAAGGGGAATAACCTGATGAACTTTCTCGGCCAATAGAGGGATCGAACAAGCGACCTCCAGACTCGCGAGCCAGCGTCCTACCCACTTAGCCACTTAGCTAAATTTATCATATTCTTTGGCAAAGATATCTTGTTGGTCACAAATTGACCACCAGGCAAAATTCTGAAATGAAAGCCCTGTTAATTAGAACACGATAGATGCCTGATGTAGTAACCAAGAGTAGGTAACTCTACATGATGATTGACTGATGTTCATGTATCAGATATGAATGATATATACATTGGTGAAATATGATTAAATGAATACAATAAAAGGGGTCCATGGCTAGATTAGTTACGACCGATGTTAAATGCAGCCCGGGAAAATGAAAAGATGTTAACAGACAAACGATTAACAGAATGAAAACAGTCACATACAACAGTCTCTTCAAGCCTATCACCAGATATCATCTATAATGAAAGCAGGGGTCTAGTGATCATAAGGTACGTTATTAAGTCAAGTGACAGGTTTTCAATCCCACACTTGTACGTGACAAGGATTAGGGTCGTCTGTCCAACCTCCAACCTTGTAGGTATTCTCCAGGTCCTCCCATTTCCTACCACTGCTTAACACCCTATGCACAAACAAATTATTGAAATAAAATTGAACCATATCTTAGTCTCGAAATGACTTAGTTTCTCTCTCCCCACTATGAGTGGTATCAGTTGTTCTAGAAAATATTACAGAGAGAGAGAGAGAGAGAAAGAAAGAGAGAGAGAGTTTAATGACCACTCGGCACACACTATGTCATTTCGGGACTAACATATGGTTCAATTTTACTGAAATACTTCGCTTACCGTCTTTAGCAGTGGCAAGAAACGAAAGAACCCAGAGAAAACCCACAATGTTGAACAGGCAACCCTACTCCTTGCCACATACCAGCGAGGAATCAAAACCACGCCACTTGACTCAATGACAGACTTTATGATGCAATGTGCATGCATTAACCATTTAGCCACCTAACCCCATTTGCTCGTAAGGAAACAAATCTGGGATCAAATGACAAGAAGAAACCATTAATCTTCATCCAAATTTTATAATTTATGTTCAATCTGATTAAAGTACAGATCTATATTTCGTTCCGTTTTTTTATACTTTCTATGGCCTACACTACATGAAGATCTGACCGGTTGTAGGGATAGGTCGCGTCAGAGGTCATACGAGCAACTTTTGACCCTATGACATTAGATATTTGATTAACCAATCAGCATTGATGTTACTAATGGATTACCCACAGTTCCGTGCAAAAAAACGCCTAAATCTCGCCGTAACAGACCATTTCATTGGCTAATTCCCCACACCATTCAGAAAAACGTCAATGATAACAACTCTTCCAGATCCTAGTGTAGTAAAGACCAGTAAAATGAAATTTTGAACTATAAAAACGAAACGAAATAGGATCTGTCTTTTAATTAGATTGAATTTCTGTTATAAATTTATTGACTTAAAGTGACTGTTACTTAAAAATTAAAGTCACATTTAGAAAAAAAAAACAACACACAAACACAAACGATTTAACAAATGGTTGACATATTAATTAGGAATGACAAAACAGAAGAAAGAAAATGACGAAAATGATGGAGAAGAATGATGAAGTGTAGTAGCATATGGAAGCAAAAAAATCGGATTTCGTTTGATTAAATAACTCCTTGATTAACTAGGACTGAAATTTCCATGGCAACATCTTAGTAGCAATTCATTTGGCGCTTTAACTGCACAGGGTGTTTCATTTAAATTCTACAAAGCATAACAGTTTTTTTGTAGTTGTCTCCCTTGGAATGCAAAACAAATGATTCAAATAATTCTTCACTTGCAATTTCGTTTATCTTTACCAGATCAAAGGATTTCGAAAGGATGGATCAAGAGGTTTCTACCTGCCCCCCTAAAATCCTTAATATAACTATTCCAATTATCAACGAATCAATTACTAAAACTTTGGCTATTTGAACGGAAAATGACCCTTTCACAATGAATTTAGGATGGTCTAAGGGGCTATAAAGGGCACCAGAATGTCTACGTTTTTTCCCCCCGTTACTCCACTCTCCCATTCAGTGAAATTACATTGATCATCCATGATATGGTGACCGTAAATAGATTATCTCCTCTTGTTCATGAGTAGTCTCCACCTAGATTTACAAATACAGCAAGAAAATTATATTAATAGAATTCTCAAAGGAATATCGAAAAGTATGTTTCATTTCATGTAACTTTTGGCAAGTTTTCTTAGATTGTTGGTAAGCAAATCCTGCTCCCCCCCACCCAAGAGTTATCCCCCATTTATACGCAATTTATAAGTCAATACTCTCTTGGCAAAGTAGAGAATTAAAAAAAAGAAACTGAATGGGTAAATATTACTTAATCATGTTTATCAGCCAAACTCCACCCCCGTTTTCTCAATGCTGTCAGTCAGTTTAAAACACATTTCAAAGGGGAGACAACTTTAAAAACTGTGATGAGCTATAATATGGTGATGTGACTCAGTGTAAGCATCTACTGCAAGCAGTGATTAACCAGCCCTAATTATAAATGTACATGCTGAGTGCCAACTAATAGAGGTGAATAATATACAAATAAAAAGCATCTATATATATATATATAGTACGACAATCTAAATATATCTCTGACATATTCTATGTAATAAATTCATATTTGTTTAAAATTACCCATTTATTGATTCAATTAATGAGTTCAATTTCCTTTAAAATTATCGATAACAAAATTCAATATCCTTTAAAATTAACAGTTTATCAATTCAATATCCTTTTAAATTAGCTATTTATCAAAAAAATAAAACCAATGTCATAAATTAACTCATATTCATTTCAATACTATTTCACTTCATTTATTGAGATAAATCAAAATCAAGAATTGAAACTTGGACGTTTTTCGTTAAATTATCCGAAATTTAATTTTGACAATAAGAATTTATTTGGTAATATGCATTGTACTTTCTTCTAATTCCTAAAGTATTCTGCTATAATTTGCTTATGCTACACATACTTCTAAGGAGTGGAGAAATAGGCCCTTATTATTGAAGAAAAAGCCTTTTTAATTATTTAAAGGCAATGGCTCCTCCGTTTCTATATTCTAATGAACGCTAGATAATGATGATGGATATTTGGATTAATATTTTAGGTGTCCCCAATTAAAGCATGTAATGTTATAGTCTGTCTAGATAATGATGACAGATACTCAGAGTAACATTCAGAAATATTTTAGGTGTCCCCCATTAAAGCGGGTATTGTTATAGTCTGTCTAGATAAGACGAAGAACACAGATCTCGTTGTGTATTTAACTGGTAGTTCTCGTCACAATTGGATATAGAGAAGGTTATAGGGGCCGCTGCTGCTGTGGAGAGAGAGAGAGAGAGAGAGAGAGAGAGAGAAATGGGGTTTAGCATCTACTAGACACAAACTAGGTCATTTCAGGACTAACATATGGTTCAACTTTATTTCAATTATTCGCTTGTGCGTAAGGAGCTGTAGCAGTGGGAGGAAACCGGAGAAAACCCACAGTCTATAGCTGTGGGATTAAACCAGGGGACTCATAGAAAACCCACAAGCAGAAAATCAGTGCCACTTGATGGTATGACAGACCTTATGATGCAAGGCGCATGCGCTAATCAATCCACCAACCAACCCCCGACCCCCTCCATTAAGGCACATAAAATGTTTTTAAAAGTTCATCCGAGCAGCCATCATCATTATCTATCTATCAGTAAAATATAGAAATAAGTGGATTATTTCCCTTTAAGGACCTCTTTGTAAATAAAGAACAGTTCAGAACACAGTTAAATCATTAATTAGTTGTTCCGTGTTGCCACGATTCCACTGAGCTAATCACCATATTGTCAAAAATAAAAATTATCCGATTTTTTTAGGCTTCATTGGAAACACTACACAGGAGTTTTTATTAATTTAAAAACAGGAATTTAAGGAATGTTGTTACAAAAAAAAAGAATTAAGAAATAAAAATGCCTTCACTGTGTTATGAAGTGTTACAAGGTGGTCTTTTGATCATAAACCTTGATAAACAGCTATAGAACTGGTAAGATATAACTGGTGAAAACGGTCACTAGGGACCGGGTATCATTCAGATTTGATGAAAAAAGGAAAGAAACTGAGCTTACCATCTATAATCTAATACACATATTCAGTTAATAGATTGCCATGCAGAAAGTGTTAAATACCATCAAGATTCATCAAAAACCGCTCAGTTTGTGCTACCGTTTAGTTTGACATCGGTTGTCTAGTTTATGAAACTAAATGATCATAAACTGGATGACCAATATCAAAACTAAACTAGATGACCGATGTCAAAACTAAATGGTGTTTCTTAAACTAAACGGTAGCACAAACTGGGCGTTATTTGATGAATCTTGATGGTATTTAACACTTTCTGCATGGCAATCTATTAACTGTATATGTGTTTTAGATTATAGATGGTAAGCTCAGTTTCTTTCCTTTTTTCATCAAATCTGAATGATACCCGGCCCCTAGTGGGTGATCGAGGGCGATTCACCTACCACATAAGTGGCATCAGATGTTCTAGAAAGACTAAACAAACCCTTCGTTGAACAGGACACTCACCCCCTAGTAAAGAGACAGTTTGAACTTGGATTTCAGAAGCCGCATGTTCTAGGTATTTAAAGGAACCTGATGTTTTTCTAGAAACATTAGGCCTTCGTTTATTTACTGAGCTCACGTTTTCTTTATCAAGGTTTGTGACAGGGAAATTGAAGTCATTTATTACAAGTAAGTGGACGATAAATATATGTTAGATAGTCCAGTGGCTGCATCCGCGGGACTTAAAAATTAATGTATGTTCCTTTAATTCTGGCCATACCCATTAGGTAATTTTTCCCCTCTCATAAAATTTTCAATATCCACTTACATGTTAAATGACTTCAGTTGTTTGTTTTCTACAGAAAGCAGAGCAAAGGGTCAAAATTACAAGGGACACGGGGGGAAAGTTTATCCAGGTCAGCTTGAAAATCAGAGTTTTTAAAATATTGAATCTTAATCTGCTTTAAAGAGAGAGAAATGGGGTTTAACGTCCATTCGACACAAACTAGGCCATTTCGGGACTAACATGTGGTTCAAATTATTTCAATAATTTGCTTGCGCGTAGGGGTCTTTCACTGTGGGAGGAAACCAGAGGACCCGGAGAAAACCCACGAGGTTGGACAGGTGACCCTACTCCTTATCAAGTACAACTAGGGAATCGAAACCACGCCAGTTGACTCAATGACAGACCTTGTGATAAAACGCACACGCGCTAACCATTTGACCATCAAATCCCCTATTATAATGAGAGATTAAAAACCCTTCAAATAACGTTCATAGGCTTTCATTTTGAAAGTCAGATTTTAAATTCTAACAACTTTAAATTTTGGTGTGGTAGTCAAGCTAACCTGAATAAAAGGAATTTGGGTTTAAAAGGGAGGTAACTCAAGCAAGGGAGGTAATTGAGGCAAGGGAAATAACTTACCTTTATCAGCTAGGGATTGCAGTTTTGAGGGCTGTGTATCGGCATTCAGTAATAAATTAGAGGCAGCCAGTGCAGCATTCTTAGCACCTTGTGCAGCTAAAACTTCCGGCAACGAAACTAAATTCTTAACGCTGGTTCGACTGTTAATCGAAGGAGTGCGACTTAACCCCATGTGAGGAGAAAGGTGATTGGGCGAGTGTTGTCGTGATTTGTAGAATGTCGGAGTCATTACATCAAGTCCCCCGCCTCCACACGTGTTCAAAGATTCTGAGGAAGGGTTTAAGCTATTGTTGTTGCTAGGCAGCATCAAGAAATTAGGTCGTCTTGGTGATGAGAGAGGATCAACATCTGAGACTTCTGGGCTGGCTCGTGGTGCCATGGGACTTCCGTCAGCGCGGTGAATACATAGATCTGGCGTCACTATGTTTAAATGATGATGGTGATAATTTGTATGTTGATTGAGATAAACTGTTGGTATACCTTTTTTGCGATGGCGCTTACGACGCAGGGATATCGCTTTTTCTGGATTGATTTTTCGCTGTCTTTTGGCTTGACTTTGGCAATATCGACTCAAGAATTTGCGTTTTGCTTTCCTGAATATATGAACAAGAAGTTTTAAAATTTCTGTGTAACACCCGCCTGGTTCTGAATTACTGGCGATCGTACTGGTCGACTGATATCTTTTCCTCTCTTGTAACATTCTCTCCGTTTCTCGTTTTTTTGTTTCAGAAAACTGTGTTGCTATAACAACTAAACACAGATTTATCATAAAAAATGAGCCGATCTGAAAATAAAAGGTATGATTAATTAGATATTTTTTTCATTAGCTTCCATAACTAAATATGCCTATTTTCCTGAGTTTGCAATAGTTTTTAATCTGAGATTAAACATCAGTGGAGAATTACGGACTGGTTTCAAATTCAAATAGAAACAGATCAACAGAGGCTGAATTAAAATGAACCTGGGGAATATGGTGACTGTCTGGAGAATATGGCTACTATCTGGGCAATATGGCTATTGTCTGGGGAATATGGCTACTATCTGGGCAATATAACCACTATCTGGAAAATATATCTACTATCTAGGCATTATAAACACTATTTGGGCAATATGGCCATTAGAATGTAAAATAATAGTAAAAGAACTTACGACTATAAGTGCTACAAAATACGCCCAATCCCAGAAAGAATGAGCATCTTGTACATAATACATTATATTTACCCAACTTTCTAAACTGATTACCTAAAATATAAAAAATACTAAATATTATAATACGAACAGGTTAATCTGCAATATAAAACTACAAATATAATACGAACAGGTTAACCCTGGCCCATAGCCAGAGGGGAGCAAGGGGGGACAATGTGCCCCCCCCCCCAAAAAAAAAAATTTGCCGACCATAGCTCTAATTAAAATACCTACCGTAGACTGTGCCGGGTGTGCCCCCCCTAAAAACTTCACTGACCCTCCGAAGCTAGCGAGCTGGCTACGGGCCTGGGTTAACCCACAATTTATCACCCTTGGGGGGAGCCATGGTGGCTAATTGAGTAAAATGCTTGACTCGCTAGCCTAGAGGTCACATGTTCGATACACAAATCGGGTTTAACATCCTACTTTTCTACTCCGACTGGGCTAATGAAGATGGGCTTACGTCATACAGTGTGCTTATGAGGGAAATTTTTCCCAGGCAGCGGCACTATAGCCTACTCTTATATCAAATTCAAACTGCCAAGGGATCTTTTACGTGCATTCCAATGTATACAGGACCCATCCGAACGACCAGACAGCTGTCCTTGTCAGGCCCTCCGTCCTGCACCACTGACAAGGAAAAACTTCGCCAGAAAACCCCACACTAGAATAACCTAGTCTGCTTATCCAAATAATCCTTTCAAGCTCAACTGATACACACATACACCTACTCTCTCCCCTACCCAAAATACTGTAGTTGGGATTTATTTCAAAAGTGTCGAAAAGGTGTGACATTTGTAAAATGTGCTCATAACCATATCAATGTGGTGTCAGTCATTATCACATATGTGATAGAACTGGTGTAACACGTTCCAAATATCATTTTAACACAGAGATCATTGCTACGATAGATGCATTGTGAAGCTTTCAAGAAACAAAAGTGATGAACACAAAAGGAAAACACAAGTTATCATTCTATATAACTGACTGAAGTGATGAGTGATAACAGATATCTGGGCAAATTTCTGCTCACTAATAATTCCTTCGAAGATAAGACTATGGGAGGATGTCTGACAATTCCAAAAAAATAATTGAATGTCACAAGATAAGATAAAACAAAAAAAATAGAAAAAGTCTGTACATTACCATGTTTTGTTTTATGTATAGAATGAATAAAAACAAGGGAATGTACGGACTATTTCTCCTTTTCTCGTTTTCTCTTATCTAGTGACATTCAATTACTTTTTTGAATTGTCTCTCTCTCTTCCCCCCTACCCACCCCCTAAAACTGGAACTATATATAAAATGAATAAATGAACTTACTTGAAAAATGGCTACCCACGCAAATCCTATATTATCAAAAGAAATCGCACCAAGGAAGGGATTCCGATCCCCAGCATCACACTTTGTATAATATTGGTTCCAATTCACACAAGAATAGGGAGTTGGCGTATTATTACTAAATGGTTGAGCGGTATCATTACACATTCTTCCCTCATAAATAAATAACGGTAAATCTTTACAAGTTCGTATTCCTGATTCACTGTCTTTACTACAAATATAATCCCCTTTAATTGGCTGGAAGTATGTCGGTAATTCACCCCTGAAAACAACAAAAATAACAGATTCTTAAAACAAAGATTTCAATAAATATTGTAATAAAAATAAAATAAAACCAAGTACGAACAATCCAAACCATTAGACAAAATTCAAAGTCCTAAAAAAAAAACGGTATAGGCAAAATAGTGTAATCAGCAAATGGACTGTTCACTGTGTACAAAATACACGACAAACAGTAGTAACCGGTGTCCAGAAGAATAAGCTTACCCTGCCTGGCGCCACACCCACCATGACCGCATTCAAACTATTAGACGAAATCTCGGTAAAATAGCATGATTGGCTAATGGACTATCAGTATGCAAAATGCACGTGATGAACAGTGTTAACGATGTAGTAGACATAATCAGGGAGATAGTATACACGTCAATTAAATATATCTAGAATAATAGCTGAGAGAGACATGTTGTATTTACAAATCAAATCAGTATGACGGCCATAAAACTTAAATCATAGAGTACATGACAACGTCATGAACATATTTCAAAAAGTTCAATGTGTAATAAATATTGGATATTTTCACATGAACACAACAACATCAATATTGATTGACATGGACCAATATTGTATTCTAATTCATGTTTTTAATTTCGAATATTTATGGAAAATATTGAGTTAGAGATTTAGCTCCTTTAAAACGGGACCCTTCTTCTGAAACAATTTTGGCGTTGTACAGTAACATTACTAAATCGCATATTGAATTTTAATTTGTGTTTTTAATTTTAAATATTATGGATAGTATTGAGCTTGATAGTGGCGTTTTCGTGCACTGCCAATGGTTCTTTAACGTGCACGCCAACTTGTATACAGGACATCAATGTAATAGTGAAGCCCCGTAATATTTTATGTTTCATGAACTTATATTTATATATATTATTTTATACACTAATATGTCATGTGTATGAACTGTATGCCATCTGAAATGGGAGAGCAGCCTGAACTGGGCGTTGCGAGACAATAAAACCTCATCTTATCTTATATACGTAACATCTTGTAATATTGAAATACCGGTGATTTTTTTTTATAAATAAACAAACTACTAACACATAACATTGAGTTATATTGAAATATTGGCGTTTATTTTTATAACATATTGTGTTATATCAAAATACCGGTGAATATTTTTATAAATAAATAAACTACTTAAACATGACATCGTATTATTTTGAAATACCGGTGTTTATTTTTTTTAAATAATAAATAATAATAATAATAAATTTTAAAAAAAAAAAAAAATAAATTACTTACACATAACATCGTGTTATTTCTATTGAAATACCAGTGTTTATTTTTTTTAAATAATAAATAATAATAATAATAATAAATTTAAAAAAAAAAAATAAATTACTTACACATAACATCGTGTTAAATTGAAATATCAGTGTTTGTTTTTTTATCAATAAATAATCCAGGGGCGGATCTGGTCAACCCCGCCCCCCCCCCCCCCCTGCTCAGCTACATAAAAAAAATTGTAAATCAACACTTTTTATGAAAAAAGTTTCTCGGTCGTGTGCTTTATCCTTTATCGTCAGATGTGGGACAGGATGGGCACTCAAAGCACGAGATAATGATATAGACATTATGTGATATCACAATTAATGCTTTGCATCCATGAAATTGAATCACAATGTCATTGTATTAATTCATAATAAAAATTGAAGTCAAACGAGGTGTTGAATTTCTCTGTTTAAAAATCTCAATGTGTATGTATATACGCCAAAATGATGATAGAGACCATGTGGGAGGGGGGGGGTACATTGTCTCAGGAACCTGGCAAACCCCCTCCTGCAAAAATTCCTGGATCCGCCCCTGTAAACTACCGGTACTTACACATAACATTGCGTTATATTGAAATATCGGTGATTTTTTTTATAAATAAATAAATTACTTACATATAACATCGTGTTATATTTGAAATACTGGTGAATATATTTATAAATAAATTACTTACATATAAGATATATTATCACTGATATCTATAAAGCACCTGTTCCGTAATACACCAGCCCATAACTGTACTCCAATTATCCCAAATATAAAAAACACAAAAAAACACAGAAGAAGCACGTTTCCTAACATAGGTAGTGTATCTAATAATAACATAACTAATATACGCATACCTGGAATATAAAATATAACAATATTTTAATACATTAATCTAAACAATATTTTAATACATTTCAAAACTCTGGAAATATTGATTTCAGTGGTACAGATAATTTTGTGAAGAACATGAAGATGAATCTTGGAACATTTAATATATTTATTGAGATTAGCAACATTAGGGTACAGGCATAATCGGCCAGATGATGATTTTGTGGAGCCCTTGGTCAAAATATTTCAGGGGCCCTATTATACAGGCATCCATCCATCCATATAAGCAAATGAGAGAGAGAGAGAGAGAGAAATGGGGTTTAACATCCACTCGACACAGACTAGGTCATTTAGGGACTAACACATGGTTCAATTTTATTTCAATAATTCGGTTGCGCGTAGGGGTCTTTAGCAGTGGGAGGAAACCGGAGGACCCGGAGAAAACCCACGAGGTTGGACAGGCGACCCTACTCCTTGCCAAGTACAACTGGGGAATCGAAATGACTGACCGTAGGATACAGCGCGCGCGTGCTAACCATTCGGCCATCCAACTCCCCTATAAGCAAATGAAGAGTAGCTATATTAAGTAAGAAATGGGGTTTAATGTGCTACCTTTTGGGAGTCATGGTGGCTCAGTGGGTAGGATGTTGATTCGATAACCTGGAATTCCCATGTTAAATTCCTGCGTTGGCCGAGAAAGCTCATCAGGATTTTCCGACATGGCTCTCCCTTGTCAGTGGTGCAGGATGGAGGGTCTGGAAAGGGACAACGTATAGTCGTTTGGATGGGACACATTGGAATTCAAAATGAAATGAAATGAAATGGGGTTTAACATCCTACTGTTCTGCACCTATACTGGGCTAATGAAGACGGGCATACGCCATACAGTGTGCTATGAGGGAAATTTTGCCCGGGCAGCGGCACTTTCGCCTACTCTTATATCGAATTTCAACTGCCAAGGGATCTTTTACGTGCATTCTCATGTATACACGGGACCTCGGTTTTTTCATCTCATCCGAAGGACTAGACAGCTGTCAGGCCCTCCGTTCTGCACCACTGACAAGGAGAAACGACGTCGGAAAATCAGGATGAAATTTCTCGGCCAATGCAGGGATCGAACACCTGACCTCCAGGCTAGTGAGCCAGCGTCTTAACCACCTAGCCACCGTGGCTCCCCATTGGAATTCTAAATAAGATTATCGCCGCTGTGTATCGCCGCTGTCCGGGTAAAATTTCCCTCATATCACACTGTATGGTGTATGGCCGTCTTCATTAGCCTAGGTCAAAGCAGAACAGTAGGACTTTAAACCCCATTTCATTTCATTTCATCTCATGACTATTCCTTTTCCAAGCTAAGCCTTCAATCCTGCACCAATCACAAACAGTAACTACCTTAGACAATCCTGAGCAATATATACCAGGATTGAAACCCTCTCCTACTGGGGTTTAACATCCTACTGTTCTGCTCCAACTGGGCTAATGGAGACAGGCATACGATTGCAGCATGCCACGAAAGAAATTTTACCCAGGCAGCTGCACTATGGTCTACTCTTATATTGAATTCCAACTGCCAGGGGATATTTTAAATGCATGCCAATGTATACACAGGACCTCTGTTTTTTGTCCCATCCATTCTGCACCAAGGGGAAATCATGTTGGAAAATCCTGATTAACGTGACCTCCAGGCTAGTGAGCCAGCATCTTATCCACTTAACCACTGTGGCTCCCCACAACTTCATGAAAAACCTGGGGGGTTGGATGGCTGAATGGTTAGCACGTGCGCGCTGTATCATTAAGTCTGTCATTGCATCAACTGGCGTGGTTTCGAATCCCCGGTTGTACGTGACAAGGAGTAGGGTCGCCTGTCCAACCTTGTGGGTTTTCTCCGGGTCCTCCGGTTTCCTCCCACTGCTAAAGACCCCTACGCGCAAGCGAATTATTGAAATAAAATTAAACCATATGTTAGCCCCGAAATGACCTAGTTTGTGTCGAGTGGCCGTTAAACCCCATTTCTCTCTCTCTCTCTCATGAAAAACCTAAAACTAAACACTATACACTGTAACCCAGATACCATTTAATCTTGTGTATTTAGTTCTAATTTCTTTCACATTCATTTAATATCAAGTCTGTGTTGAAAAATTAATAAAAATCTTTTAAAATCAACAAAATTGATCTAATTTGTACTTGTGTCCAGTCTAAAGCTGACCATTCAATTTTGATAAGGAATGTCCAATTTACAAGCATTTAATTTCTCGATCACTGTTCAAAAACAAACAACCCAATCGATCACTGTTCAAAAACAAACAACCCAATCGATTATTGACGCATAATAGTTTATTTTTGAACAGTGGTCAGGAAATTAAATGCTTGAATTAATTGAATGGTCAGCTTTAAACTGGACACAAGTACAAATTAAATGCTTGTAAATTGGACACGCTTTATCAAAATTAAACAGTCAGCTTTAAACTAGACACAAGATTAAATGATACCCAGCAGGTTACAGTGATACTTACTTGGAATTCGATTAATGGCTCTGAGAGGTCGCAAAACTCTGATAGTTCGAATGGCTGATATGCTAAGATTTTCTGTATCAATTCCATATTCGACTGCTCTGTAATAAAAACAATAACAAGCCCGTTATCAACAAATAAATTTTACATTATTTATCATCAATTATGGTACTTCAATGTCGTCATGCAAAGCACATGCAAAAGCTAATTCATTCCAACCAAAAGAATAAAATCATGCATCATGCATAGCCATTTTTGTTTTTACTATGTGTAGAATTCTGTGTAACACTCTGAAATAAAGCAGCATTAAGAAAAAATACAAAATTTTCTGCAGCATCAAATACCACAAACCCCGTTTTATCTATGCATTGATAACCAGAACCAGGAAATTATAGAATACATACATATTCCATATTTAATTGTGGTCTGATGCGGCTTACTTAAATAACTATGAGAGTTATGGCCCTTTATTTTCAGTAAAAATGTCCAACAAGAAAAATTTTGAAATCCCAACATTGGTCCAATATCATTTCACTTAAAAGAGTGAGGAACAAGGACCGACGTGAAATGAAATGGGGTTTACCATCCTACTGTTCTGCTCCGACTGGGCTAATGAAGACAGGTATACGCCATACAGTGTGCCATGAGGGAAATTTTGCCCAGGCAGCGGCACTATATGGCCTAGTCTTCTATCGAATTCCAACTGCCTTTGTTTTTCTTCCCATCCAAACAACTAGACAGCTGTCCTTGTCAGGCCCTCCGTCCTTCACCACCGACAAGAGGAAACCACACCAAAAAATCCTGATGAACTTTATTGGTCAATGCAGGGATCGAACACGCGACCTCCAGACTAGCGAACCAATGTCTTATCCACTTAGCCACTGTGGCTGTGGGGGTGTAGCTCAATAATACCAGACAGAGCTGTTATCTATTAACATTATTTATCAACTAATTAAATCAATTACATATTTATATGTTTAATACAATCAATTACTTATTTATATCTATAATATCTTGTTTAATACAATCAATTATTTATTTATATCTATAATATCTTGTTTAATACAATCAATTATTTATTTATATCTATAATATCTTGTTTAATACAATCAATTATTTATTTAAATCTATACAGTATGTAATATTCTGTTATCTTGTTAAATACAATCAGTTACTGATCATTCCCAAGGGGGTAGTTATTGCACGCCGATCATTCCCAATAGGATAGTTATTGCACACCGATCTTTTCGAATCGGGGTAGTTATTGCGCACTGATCATTCCCAACGGGATAGTTATTGCACACTGTTCTTTTCGAATCGGGGTAGTTATTGCGCACTGATCTTTTCTAAAGGGGTAGTTATTGCACACTATCTTTTCCAAGTCAGTAGTTATTGCACACTGATCTTTTCCAAGGGGTAGTTATTGCAACACTGATCTTTTCCAAGGGGTAGTTATTGCAACACTGATCTTTTCCAAGAGGGTACTGATCTTTCCAAGGGGGTACTGATCTTTTCTAAGGGGGTAGTTATTGCACACTGATCAGTCCATAGGGTAGTTATTGCAGAGTGATATTTCCCATGGGCGTATTTATTGCACACTGGTCTTTTCAAATCAGGGTAGTTATTGCACGCTTAAATTTTTGAAAGGGTAGTTATTGCACACTGAACTTTCCAAGGGTACTAATTGCACGCTGATCTTGCCAAGGGTACAACTTGCACACTGATCTTGCCAAGGGTACTAATTGCACACTGAACTTTCCAAGGGTAGTTATTGCACACTGACTTTTTCCAAGGGTACACTGGTCTTTCCAAGGGGTACTTAATGCACACTGGTCTTTCCAAGGGTACTTTTTGCATACTGATCTTTCCATAGGTACTTTTTGCACACTGAACTTTCCAAGGGTCGTTATTGCATGCTAATCTTTCCAAGGGTAGCTAAAATTGCACGCTGAACTTTCCCAAAGGGGTAGTTATTCCACAATGGTCTTACAAGGATAACTATTTTTCTTACAAAAGACTAGAAATACTCTCGTGTAATGAACTAATGCGAACTGAAGGAACAGTGGCTGCACCTGGATTTGACGGAAATGCCCTGTGAAATACGCAATTTGAAGACATGCAACCAATAGAAATAAATGTTATCTTAGCATCAATCAGAAAATGGGAAAATTGGCTTACAGAGCTTCGATATGGGTAGCCTCAAATGAAAACGACATAAATTAATTTTCTAATTACTTATTGCTGCCACCACTTAAACATACATTATGCAAGAGCTAAATCTGCCTATTGCAGGTCTTTCTTTAGGATTGAAATGTTATATAAACTATTAATTAGACATTAATTAACTTATCCAGACCATAATCAACTCTCAATGTCATTGCTAGCCTGCGATAATTGTTGGATTATGATCCGATTTGCTGCATAACTTTCCTTCTTGATTTAACGATTAAATGGATAATCGAGACTATGATTTTTGTCGTACCGACTTTATAGTAATGATGACCGAGGCTATGTGGAACTTTCGGTCGCTTATTTCTCGGTTCATAGTGGATCAATTTGACTGACATTTTCAGCAAATTGCCTTTACATTATCTAGTTTTTAACTATTATAGCGAGAACTGCCAACTCATTATCTAATCTCCCATAATGTATCTTTAAGAATGGTGATATAAATGGGCATTGAAACTAATGCGATATGTTTTGTACTCTGTTTTAAAATGAGAGGCTTCATCGTTCATTCTTTCAAGTTGACCGACAAGTATACGAGTCCGTTTTCCAGAGAATGACAATAGTTTATCAATAACATTGATTTGCTTATCAAAAAGATTAATTTGTTTATCATCATCTGATGATCTCATTATATCAATCAATATTGATTATTGATTGTTGTTTTGGTTTTTTCTTTCAAAAACAATTTCCTGGGTATGGACAACAGGATTGTGATGTTACATGTGTCTTGATTTAATTAATCATTGTTTATTTATTGAAGTTTTTTTTTTCTTTTTTTTCCTTTAGAGAAACCTTATTGGAGAGAGAGAGAGAGAGAGAGAGAGAGAGAGAGAGAGAGGGGGAGGCAGAAATGGGGTTTAATTCCACTCGACACAAACTAGGTCATTTCAGGACTAACATCTGGTTCAATTATTTTAATAATTCAGTCGCGCGTATGGGTCTTTAGCGGTGGGAGGAAAAACAGAGGACCCGGAGAAAACCCCTCAAGGGTGGACAGAAGACCCTAATCCTTGTCACGTATACCTGGGGAATCGAAACCACACCAGTTGACCCAATGACAGACCTTATGATACCACGTGCAAAACATTCAGCCACCCCTATGTGCAAGCGAATTATTAAAATAAAATTGAACCATGTTAATCACAAAATGACCTAGTTTGTGTTCAACCCCATTTCTTTCTTTCTCTCTCTTGCTAAAGTCACCTACAAAGTAAACTTATACCATATGTTAGTCCCGTATTGACCTAGTTTGTGTTAAGTGAACATTAAACCCAGCTTATCCTCTGTCTTTAATCGTCTCTTGTATCGATTTAGAATAAACCTGTTTTTGTTGTTGAATTACGACCTAAGGGTATGATCAGAGATGTCGTATTATATTAAATGATATTTTCCAGACCTAACCATGATGCCGGCTTTAATTAACCACATGTAAACATCAGTTAACCTGTCTGTTTCATATCGAATTCATCGTGTCAAGGTCACAGCAGGGGGAGGGAAACAGTACAGTGATCAGATAGTTCAATCTCTGTGACCAGCACACAGTTGCATGTTCAATAATCAGGGTATGGCTGTGTATAAAAGTTGTTTGTTCTTTACGTAATGCTTGTGTCCAACTGTCGTGCGATGCGTTACGATGGGATTGTCCTTATTGAGTCCACGATCTACTAGGTGTATATACGCTCGGATCCGTTTCGATATGATCAACGCGATTGCTACAACTGACCTCAATATATAATAAGACCTGATAGGATGATCACGATTACTCCACGATTGAAACCACAAGTGATAGTGGGAACATAGCATACTCCACGATTGAAACCACAAGTGATAGTGGGAACATAGCATACTCCACGATTGAAACCACAAGTGATAGTGGGAATATAGCATTATCCCAGTCAGACAAGAGGTAACTGTGAATTTGCAAGAACAGATACCCATGCTTCACTGGATTTTTTGTACCACTATCAAAGCTTTTTTTATTTGCACAGCATTTGGCTAAATTAAAAACAAATTGATGAGAAATTTTAGAAATGAAAATATAGTTTGCTCATCTTTCATATTCAATCATTGTCATTGGCCTGTAGAAAACCTAATAATATTGATTTTTACATAGACATCCTTAACAAAGAGAGAGATAGAGAGTGAGAGGAGAGAGAGAGAGATGGGGTTTCGTAGGTGACTTTAGCAAGAGAGCGAGGAGCGAAATGGGGTTTATTTTATTCTTTGGGGTCTTTGGGGTCATACTATCAAGGAGTTGGCCCCTATACTTGATTCTTCAGGGTCATGTTATCAAAGAGTTGGCCCTATACTTGAGACTTCAGGATGATACTATCAAGGAGATGGTCCCTCTAGTTGGGACTTCGGGGGTCATCAAGGAGTTGGCACCTATACTTGAGTCTTTGGGGCAAACTATCAAGGAGTTGACTCTATACTTGAGGCTTCGGTGTCATACTATGAAGGAGTTGGTCCTATCCTTGAGTCTTCGAGGTCATACTATCAAGGAGTTGGCCCCTATACTTGAGACTTCGGTCCGGGTCATACTATCAAGGAGTTGGCTCCTACACTTGAGTCTTCGAGGTCATACTATTTGGCCCTATACTTGAGACTTCAGGGTGATACACTCAAGGAGATGGCCCCTATAGTTGGGACTTCGGGGGCCATACTATCAAGGAGTTGGCCCCTATACTTGAGATTTTGGTCGGGGTTATACTATCAAGAAGTTGGCCCCTACACTTGAGTCTTCGAGGTCATACTATCAAGAAGTTGACTCCTAAAATTGAGTCTTCAGGGTGTCAAGGAGTTGGCCCTATACTTCAGTATTCGGGGTCATACTAGCAAGGAGTTGGTCCTGGGCACCACTGAAAGACCCCAATATTAATATTATCACCCCCCATACTGATGTTATCTGGTATTTTGACTTTAAAATTCAATCTTTGGAAAATTCTAATTTATATTTTGATTCCTGTAAAAAAAAAAAACGTTCTGTAATTTGTAAAGAGATAAATTGCAGAATGTCTAGAGGGTTGAAATGGAAAATGGTCCACGCTTCTTATCAAAGTAGATTGCCTCCCATTGCGTAGTGTCTGTGGTATAGAAACGACCAATCAATAAGCTTCTTTTGTTGACCGCCGAAAATCAATGAAACCAACATTAAGCAAGTCTGGTCATGGAACTTTACGGAAACGTGTTCGTTGTACATTAAATCCAAATTCTACTACATTTTTCTAATTTTGTCCAGTCAAGATGAATTACTCGTTAATTAAATCGAGAAGAAATATAATTTTCATTCTTTTTCACGTCTGCTAATAATCCATCAACTTAATTCCATAATCAACTACTTGGCCGTGATCAGAGGGAAGAACTATTTTTTCCCCTTTTCTGACTACTTCAACGCAGACAGGTATTTTTAGTGCAAGCAATTTCCCCGGAATAATCAAATTACCTTCTAAATAATTCACATTCGCATAAATCCATGAACAAATTTTGGTTCTGTTTTTGGGTCATCTTGCCATGTGAGTGTAGTCTGTTCTTCATATTAAAGTTACCGTACTTAAAATAGTTTTCCTAAATTTATCTTAGTATGTGAACCAGAACCATTCTAGTAGCACGCAATAGTCAGTTTTTCAAAACGATTCAGCCAAACGACAAAGGATTTTAAAACTAAAGCTATAACGAGAGAGAGAGAGAGAGAGAGAGAGAGATGGGGTTTAACGTCCACTCAACACAAACTAGGTCATTTCGGGACTAACATATGGTTTAATTTTATTTCAATAATACGCTTTAGCAGTGGGAGAAAACCGGAGGACCCGGAGAAACCCACCAGGTTGGACCCGGTGAAAACCCACGAGGTTGGACAGGCAACCCTAACCCTACTCCTTGTCACATACAACCGGGGATTCGAAACCACGCCAGTCGACTCAATGATAGACTTTATGACACAGCGCGCGCACGCTAACCATTCAGCCATCCAACCCCCCCTAAAGCTATAAAACTTTAGACAGTTTTACAAAGAAATGCAAATCAATCAGTTTTTCAAAATGGCAGCTGGATGAAATGCATGATGCTCCAACCAACCTATGTTTTGCCCACAGAGATTTTAAAACCTAAGGCTAAAATTTTGGCAATTGGGTACCATCATGGTGTCTGATATTTTATTTCCAGACCTGCAAGTTAGAAATGAAATGAAATGGGGTTTAACATCCTACTGTTCTGCTCCTAACCTGGGCTAATGAAGACGGACATATGCCATACAGTGTGCTATGAGGGAAATTTTGCCCGGGCAGCGGCACTAAGGCCTACTCTTATATCAAAGTCCAACTGACAAGGGATCTTTTTACGTGCACGCCAATGTGTACACAGGACCTCGGTTTTTCGTCCCATCCGAACGACTACACAGCTGTCCTTGTCAGGCCATCCGTCCTGCATCACTGACAAGGGGAAACCATGCCGGAAAATCTGGATGAACTTTCTCGGCCAATACAGGGATCGAACACCCGCCTTCCAGGCTAGCGAGCCAGCGTCTTACCCACTTAGCCCCGTGATCCCCCTGCAAGTTAGAACTCCTTGCACCCCTGACTAAGTGAGAAAATTTGCTTCCTCACACCAAAGTTGAAAAATATCCTTCCTCATTCATAGATGAAATATTTTATTTTTTTATAAAGTGATGACAATATCCTACATCACAGCAGACGCTACCCTCACCCCCACTGACTGAAAAAAGTTTTTTTTATAACTTGACAAACTTAAAATGGCATTATGGAAAGTTAGATAAAGAGCTGGCGGTTCTCATTTTAATAGTTAAAAACTAGATAATGTAAAGGGAATATGCAGAAAATTTCAGTCAAATTGCTCCACTCTGAACCAAGATATTAACAATTGAAATTCTAGGCCTAGCCTCAATCATCATTACTAAAGTCGATATGATAAAACAACATAGTCTCAATTATCCATTTTTAGATTCAATCATCAATGAGTGTTGGACAGCAGATCGGATTCAAATCCAGTGAAAATCTGACGCATAAGATGGCATCAAGAGTTTATCACGGTCCTGTCCTGTTAATTAATATCTAATTAATAGTTTATATAACATTTCAGTCCTAAAGAAAGACCTGCAATAGGCAGATTTATCTCTTGCATAATGTATGTTTAACTTTAGCTGGACTATGACTGTAACGTCCACTCGACACAAACTAGGTCATTTCGGGACTAACACATGGTTCAATTTTATTTCAACAATTCGCTTACACGTAGGGGTCTTTAGCAGTGGGAGGAAACTGGAGAACACAGAGAAAACCCGCAAGGTTGGATAGGCGACACTACTCCTTGTCATGTACAACCGGGGAATTAAAACCAGACCAGTTGACCTAATGATACAGCGCTCGCATGCTAACCATTGGGCCTTCCAATCCCCTACCCTATGACCGATTAACATGACACAAACGCCAGCCCTTCTCTATACATTTTTATATCATTTTTTTTAAATGAGTCGAGAAAGTTCTTTCATGGCAATAAAACAAACACGTTTTTAAATTTGATCACACAGGAGAACTATAACATGTTATGCAATTGTTGAAAAGGCACCGGTATTTTTGAAAAATGTGCTCAGGGCCATGCTCAGTATCCCCAGTGGTTTCATCTGTTCAACTCCACTGACAACAGTTGATTTAACGGAATGATGTCACTGGGGATACTATCAAAGATATAGCTCAGGGGAGCAGTTGCAGTAGATGAAAACTGTCATCCAAGGCAGTCCACCACCTACTCCTCTACTAGTTACAGTATATCAATTATAAGAATCAAATAATTCAATGACAATCACTCCAGAAAAAACAGCAAAAAAGACATGCAATACAGCACTTTCACCATACGGACATCTATATATATAAATATAGTCAATAACATATACACACCATCATGCAAGCAAACAATCCAGAAGCCCAAAAATTGTTTATTAGTAAAAAAATGAAGTAAATTAAAATCATATAACTCACAGAATTTATTTGAAAAATCAAATAGAAGCTTAAAGATACTTGAAAAGAAGATGTACTGTAGGCATAATGAGCATCGTTAATATCAAATCTTTCTCGTTTAACAAGAATTAATATTGATACATTAATTAATTAATTAATTAATAATAATGATGATAATCAGTTATAAAAATATTGGGTTTCAAAACCTAAATTATTCTACATGTTAATGAAACTATAATATATGTATATGGGAATTATAAAATTATTATAAAATAAATAAAAAATAATACAGACTGTTACCATGGTTATGAAAAGAAAATCATAATTCTATCTATTACGAATATTTCTATAATCATTTCATGGTTGACGTCTATTGTTAAAACGATCATTTGAACAGAAATTTACATTAGTAACAGTTGCCATAGAAACACAGCATGCAGAAACTTGTGCTAGCATAACATGCAAGAAAACTCCAGGGGTGAATTTTCCTCAATAAAAGTCCATTTTCCGATAATTTTCAGAACCGTTCAGTAAATGTAATTACGAAATTCAATTATAAATAAAGCCAAAATTATTCATTTAAAAAAACGTATAATTTGCGACTAATTATTTGAATTGGTTGAGGTTTTTTTTGTGGAAAATTCCCGCATGGTTTATGGTGTGTTTTTCGTGAGCCGTGTTGATAGAACACTTGTGAATTCTGAACCACAAGAATTAGGCAGGTTGAATCTTACTTGTATAGTATGTATTCCGCAATTCTAGATAAACGGGGAGGGAAAAAATGAAAATAAAAAATCAACTTTAAAACTAACAAATTAAATAAAACAAAAAAAACTTCTAGAAAATATGTATTAAAATTAAAAGAGTTATTTCAAATTTGTCAAAAAAAACGTTTCGTGAAACAAAACCATTCAACTACTGATTTAATTATTAATTAAGCGGGCTAAATTTTTTTACGCAATTCTAATGTTAGTAGATCATGTCTTTGCAACAGAAAAATATCAATCGAACACTAAATTAATATTCAGTCGTAAGTGTTGTTAATTAAGCGCTGTTAAGTAATTAATAAATGCTCTTGCATCAATCCCGACAGGCTCAAATTAAAAATCTTATTTCAAATTTGTATTTTCGTTCCCAAAGCCGAACTGAATATAAATGACATTTTAACACAAAACAAAAACAAAGCTCGAAAAATGTCATCAGCCACTAACAAATAAACTATTCAAAATTTACTGAATTTCGGGTTCAAGCGGAAAGGAAATGAGGAGAGAGAGAGAAATGGGGTTTAACGTCCACTCGACACAAACTAGGTCATTTTGGGACTAACATATGGTTCAATTTTATTTCAATAATTTGCTTGCACGTAGGGTTTTTTTAGCAGTGGGAGGAAACCGGAGGGCCCGAGAAAACCCATGAAGTTGAACAGGTGACCCTATTCCTTGTCACGTACAAGCAGGGAATCAAAACCACTCACTGACAGACCTTATGATGCAACACGCACGCGTTAAACAATCGGCCTCCCACCCACCATATAGATCATTGGTTTTTCATCCTATCCTGCACTGCTAAAAAGGGAAACCATAATGGAAATTCACGAGGCACTTTTATGGTCACCACCTTAATCAAACTAAGGACCATCTGGTTCGTGAGCCACCATCTTCGTCACTAAACCATTATGGTTCTCGGTTTAAGACGACCCTCTCACTTCGGCTTCAAACTATTTGAAATGAAATGTGTTTTAACGTCCTACTCTTCTGCTCCGAACTGGGCTAATGAAGATGGGCATATGCCATACAGTATGCCATGAAGGAAATTTTGCCCGGACAGCGGCACTACAGCCTACTCGTATATCAAATTCCAGCTGTAAAGTGATCTTTTACGTGCACGCCAATGTGTACACAGGACCTTGGTTTTTTGTTCCATCCGAATGACTAGACAGCTGTCCTTGTCAAGCCCTCTTTCCTGCATCACTGACAAGGGGGAACCACGCCAGAAAAATCTTGTTGAAATTTCTCGGCCAATGCAGGGATCGAACATCCAACCTCCAGCCTAGTGAGCGTCTTACCCACTTAGCCACAGTCGAACTATTTGAGGACTATAGCTATCTGCAGTCTATCTTGTCAAATGGAATCCTTGCATATTAAGCAATGAATTACTTCATACACTGTAACCAGGGTATTATGTAATCTTGTATATCTAGTATTAATTTCTTTCACATTTGTTTACTATCAAATCTGTGTTGAAAAATTTGTAAAAATCTTTTAAAATCACCAAAAATCATCTAATTTGTACTTGTGTCCAGTTTAAAGCGGACTGATTCAATTATGATAATGAGTGTCCAATTTACAAGCATTTCATTTCTTTGATCACTCTTAATGATTAATTTTAGAAGGGTGGTCAGGGAATTAAATACGTGCAAATTGGACACTCATTATCAAAATTAATCACTCAGCTTTAAACTGGACACAAATACAAATTAGATGATTTTGGGTGATTTTTACAGATTTTTAAATGAATGTGAAAGAAATAAGTACTAGATATACAAGATTGTTACAGTGTATGAAGTAATTCATCGCTTAAAGAGAGAGAGAGAGAAATGGGGTTTAACGTCCACTCTACACAAACTTGGTCATTTCGGGACTAACATATGGTTTAATTTTATTTCAATAATTCGCTTGCACATAGGGGTCTTTAGCAGTGGGAGGAAACCGGAGGACCCGGAGAAAACCCACGAGGTAGGACAGGCGACCATACTCCTTGTCACATACAACTGGGGATTCGAAACCACGTCAGTTGACTCAATGACAGACTTTATGGTACAGCGCGCACATGCTAACCATTCAGCCATCCAACCCCTCTTCATCGCTTAAAAGGTAAGAATTTCATGTGACAAGAGAGTCTGCAGTGACCAAACAAACATAGCAGTCTATCTACTTGCATCATTTTTAGAGACTGTTATTTCAAATGTTCGGGAGACCACATTCCTACAGATGGTCATTAATTGAACAATTTTAACATGGAATTAACAATATTTGATATCCATGCATGCTTGATTTGAAATAAGATGCTTTTAACCATCTTCCGCAGAAGGATAGTTAGGCCACAGCAATTTCATTTCTTGTTCTTGAAAACACATCAAATATTTTACTTCTGGTTTCTTCAAGGGCACTAGGTCATCTCAAAAGCTTTCCTTTCTAAAATTGAGACCCGAGTGTTTATTCATTTATATATAAAAAACCGATACCACGAAAATGCCTAAGCATTCTGTAATATATTATGACAAACTCTGAAAATCTTGTACAGTTTTAGGGACGTAAATACGAGGGCATTACAAAACGATGACATTTCTCTGAGCTTGATGTTTAAACACAAGAACTGAACAACGGTCAAAACACGATTATAAAGAGCTACACATCATGTTTCACCATCATTGACAATGTTTATTACAATAAGACAGTGACAAACTCGGACGTAATTCTCTTGTTTACAAGCATTTACGAACATTAGTCAAAGATCAGCAATCTAACCTAACACCTTCTAGTCACAAGCCCATATTCTTCTAGATTAAAATTTGAACCTGACAGAGAAACAGCTAAAGAGAGAGGGGGGGAGACAGTCAATGAGATAGGGGGAAGAAATAGAGACAGGGGGCAGAGGTGGGGGAGGGAGAGACAGAGAGGAAGAGACAGACAGCAAGTGATGGGGTGGGGAGAGAGGAAGCGACAGACAGGGAGAGATAGAGAGAGATAGAGGGAGAGAGAGGGAGAGACTGGTAGACAGAGACAGGCAGACAGAGGGAGAGAGAGGGAGAGACAAAGATAGAGCAAGATAGACAGAGACAGACAGACAGTGAGAGAGTGAGAAACAGGCAGACAGAGACAGACAGACAGCGAGAGAGTGAGAAACAGGCAGACAGAGTGAGAGACAGACAGCGAGAGAGTGAGAAACAGGCAGACAGAGTGAGAGACAGACAGCGAGAGAGTGAGAAACAGGCAGACAGAGTGAGAGACAGGCAGACAGACAAGCTGAGAGAGAGAGAGAGGGGGGTGACAGCAAAAGAAAAGCAGAGATAAAGACAGAGGTTGAGACAGAGAGGGAGCGGGAGACAGACAATGAGCTAGGAAGAGTGAGAGGGAGACAATATTGAGTGATCTCCAGACAGTTGTTATGCCTTCTTTGCATGTTGGTGATGCCAAAATGAATGTATGACAGATGCTCTTTAATCCATCTAAGGAACTGGTCCTGGAGTTCACAAAACATTCTCAGACTTAATTAAGAATTTACTCAACTTTCAATCACTGTTTATGAGAAATATCTTTGATCCAGAAACACAAAGTTTCTTATTGATGTATTTGATACATTAAAACAACCAAAGTTTTATAAAGGGCTATATTTTAGTTAAAATAAGACAAACAATTTTGATTAAATTCTTAACTGAAGTCTGAAAATATTTTGTGAACTTGAATCCTGTTTTTAGTAAGCTTGTAAACAGAGGTTACAGCCTTCACCATCTTATTTCTAACATATGGATTGTATAATACAGTGACAAAACGTTGATAGGAAATATGAATAACCAGCAAAACAAATCACGTATACAAAATACACTTCATACAAAATTACTTTGAATTCATTTCAGAAAATAAAAATATTGACAAATATTTTTTTTCTCAAAATAACGAATTGCCTAGTTCTTGTTTAGTTCGAAGGTGTGTGGTGTATAAACTTACATAATATAAAATTAAACAAAAAGTTTTTTTTTTGAAAATAGACAAATATTACATGTTTGTACACAACACATAAATAAGCAACAACGAAAATAAACTAAAAAAACAGTGACAAAATTAGAGAAAAATCTACAAGAAATACAAAATTAAGCAATGGAATATTTTAAAACGATTCCACAGAACATGAAAAACAGAAACAAAACTATATAGAGTAGGGAAAGAGCTTTAAGGCAGTGTTGGGATTTCGCCCGTATATTCCGGACATGTCCTACGCTATTCTCCAAACATTCGAAAACGTCCAATCAGGAATATGCTCAATCGGACAAGAGTTTAAGGTCGACAAATTACACTGTATTTAGATCTACTTTACTATACAAGGGTTTCACTATAATACACCTGGAACCAACAGTGGCTCAGTGCATAAGACGTTGACTCGTTAACCTAGAGATCCCTTGCTTGATCCTGGTTTTGGCAGAGAAAGTTCATCAGTGGTATAGTCGTTTTGTTGGGAGGAAAATCTGAGTTCCTGTGTACTCATTGGCACGCATGTAAAAGAATGCTTGACAGTTGGAATTTTAAATAAAAGTAGACTGTAGCAAAGCAAACCGACCCTGTGGTCACCTCAACAGCTGTTTGAAATGAAATGAAATGGGGTTTAATGTCCTAGTAGTCTGCTCCGACTGGGCTAATGAAGACGGGTGTGCTATGAGGGGAATTTTGCATGGGCAGCGACGCTACAGCCTACTCTTACACATCAAATTCCAACTGCCAAGGAATCTTTTTCGTGCACGCCAATGTGTAAACCGGACCTCAGTTTTCCGTCCCATCCCAACAACTAGACAGCTGTCCTTGTCAAGCCCTCCGTCCTGCACGACTGACAAGGGGGAACCATGCCAGATAATCCTGAAGAACTTTCTGGGCAAACACCATGGTTGAACGCGCAGCCTCCAGGTTAACGAACAGCTGTTCAAGGACCGTAAACAATTTCTGTGAGTCTTGTCTGTGCGATATCACTACCGTGGAAGGAGACATCAAATATGAACTAAAATCAGTCAGTTTGTGACTCCGGTGGTTTGAGGCAGTCTAGAGAGAAAAGCAAAGTTCTAAACACATGAATATTCTGTAAAGAATTTCCAGGAACTGGGGCGGCAGTCAATATTTACAGGTACCATGTGATAAAGGGTTAATATAAATCATAGTCAAACTGTTGGATTCCATGTATACCGACCCCTACCCCCACCCCACCACTCCAACCTCATGGGTTTTCTCTGGGGCCTCCGGTTTCCTTCCACTGCTAAAGACACCTACGCGCAAGCGAATTAAGGAAATAAAATTGAACCATATGTTAGTCCCGAAATGACCTAGTTTCTGTCGAGTGGCCACCCAACCACCACTCCCCTGCCTTACAGGTGAACGTCCTAGTAGGATCCATGTATACCGGCCCCTTCCCCTACCCACCCTACTGCCTTATAGGTGAGCCTCGTAGCGGGGACCATGTATTCCGGCTCCTTCCCCCACCTCAACCCACCCTCCTGCCTTATAGGCGAACGTCGTAGCGGGAACCATGTATTCCGGCCCCTTCCCACACTTCAACCCACCCCCTTGCCTTATAGGTACCAAGTCTTAACAGGTTAGTTGGGATCCATGTATATCAATCCCCATTCCCTTCGTCCCCCATCCCCCCCAACCCCCTAGTTAAATATACTGGATATAAAAACGAGCTATAGGTGATGAGCCTCCTATCATACAAACAGAATCATTGTACTAGACATTATACATACATACAATTAATACAGAAATTTAAATAAAACGGTCATTTATCTTGTAGGGGGTCAACTAAAACAGCTAGGGTCAACTAATTCCAATCAAATTTTTACAATCAAACGATTGTTCTACTTCCTTTCAGAGACATTTTTTCAGATTCAAGTTAAAACATATATAAATATTTTTCCAAAAAAAAATGGAATGAAATGAAATGAAATGGGGATTAACGTCAAACTTTTCATTGGCAGCATTTTTAAGATCCCCCGACAGTTGAAAATCGGGATAAGAGTAGACTGCTGATCCACTGTTTGGGCAAAATGTTACTTACAGCACATAGCATGGTGTACGAAAGTCTTCGTTATCCAGATTGGTGCCGATAAGTATGATGTTAAACCCTGTTTTATTTCTTGGGGATCACGTGGCTAAGTGGGTAAGACGCTGGCTCGCTAGCCTGGAGGTCGGGTGTTCGATCCCTGCATTGGCCGAGAAAGTTCATCCAGATTTTCCGGCGTGGTTCTCCCTTGTCAGTGATGCAGGACGGAGGGGCTGACAAGGAAAGCTGTCTAGTCGTTCGGATGGTACGAAAAACCGAGGTCCTGTGTACACATTGGCATGCACGTAAAAGATCCCTTGGCAGTTGGAATTCGATATAAGAGTAGGCCGTAGTGCCGCTGTCCGGGCAAAATTTCCCTCATAGCACACTGTATGGCGTATGCCCGTCTTCATTAGCCCAGGTTAGGAGCAGAACAGTAGGACGTTAAACTCCATTTCATTTCATTTCATTTCGTTTTATTTCTTTGAATATCAACCAATCAGATCTAATCTTATTACGCAATTGGATTTAAACATTCCCATAATGCACCATAAAACTACGACCTCTACACCAATTATACACACAATTTGATTAGTCAATAAGATTACAAAAATATGACAGACGACAAAACGTTGCGCAACAAAAAATAAAAAAAGAACGAAACGTCATTGACATCTGAATCTAATCAGAACAAGGGCCCTACATTTACAGCAAAAAAAACCCAACATGGTTTGACGTAACAAAACATAGAAACTAAATTTTTTTCGGCCTATGGCATAATCGTACAAAAATTAAAATAACAGTTATTATTACGATATTTTTATGTTGTGTTTCATATTTGAGCAGACGTCAATTATTTTGTAAGAAATATTGCGTAAGAAATGAAATGGGGGGGGGGGGGATAGGGGGCGGGGGTCAATGTCTTACTCTCTGTACTAACAGGTGTAATGCAGTCGACCCTAGGCTGATATTGTGTCATATATCTTTCATCAAACATTACAGTGTCCTAAATACAATTAACTTTTTAAAATGAAATGAAATGAAATAGGGTTTAATGTCCTATTGTTCTGCTCCTAACCTGGACTAATGAAGACGGGCATGTGCAATACAGTGTGCTATGAGGGGAATTTTACCAGGGCAGCGGCGCTACGGCCTACTCTTATATCAAATTCCAACTGCCAAGAGATCTTTTACGCGCACGCCAATGTGTACACGGGACCTTGGTTTTTCGTCCCATCTGAACGACTAGACAGCTGTCCTTGTCAGGCCCTCCTTCCTGCATCACTGACAAGGGGGAATCTCGGTGAACTTTCTCGGTCAATGCAGGGATGGAACACCCAACCTCCAGGCTAGCGTGCCAGCGTCTTACCCACTTAGCCAAGGTGACCCCCCACCCCCCCGACGATATAGGATGTAGTCATCAAAAGCCTCCTACGAGTTTCGCTGGAATCTGTTAGATGGATGACTTTATAATCTGATTAAATCCAAGCTAGAAGATTACTTAGTGTTTATATTCTCATTTGGGTTTCCTAATCAAATGTTTAAGAATTATAATTCCAGTTCATTTTGTTGGGGATTCATTAAATCAGGGATTAATTAAGTCAGGGAAAATTTGACCTTTTCCGAAAAATGTAAAAAACAAACAGAGACATTAAATATTATCAATCTGATTAAAAGAAACAGTTCCGTGTGAGTTTGTTGTATTTTACGGCCAATTCCACCGAGGTGATATCGCAAACAAAACACAGATACATTTTTGTTTCTTTTTTCATAGTTCAAAATTTCGTTTTACTTGTCTTTAGTACACTAGGATCTGAAAGAGTTCTTATATAGCCCGCGTTCTGGTTGATGTGAGGGATTAGCTAATGAAATGATCTGTTGCAAGAGTTCTTGGTGTGCGATGCACGGAACTATGGGTATTCCACTAGAAACATCAACCCTGATTGTTTAATCAAAAGTCTGATGTCATAGGGTCCAAATGCACTCGTATAACCCCTAACGCAACCTCCCACTACAACTGGTCAGACCTTTATGTAGTAGAGGCCATCGAAAGTATAAAAAAATGAAACGAAATATAGATTTGTATTTTAAACGAAACGAAATATAGATTTGTATTTTAATCAGATTGAAATATTTTTAAACTATAAAACCACTAATTTTATAGTTAGCCTACTAGATCTAAAAAATGTTATTTCACTAATGATGCTGATCTGAAGCTTGTGAAAATCAATATAAAAATCAAAACCAAGACACTAAATTAAAATTTTGTGATACAAACATGAAACAAAACACTATGATAAATATCTAGGAGTTAAATCAAACGGAAACTAAAAGACATACACATTATAGCGTTTAATAAAACTATTACACAGAAACAGGAAAATAAAAGTAAATAAGCAACAAAAGTTAAGCAGTTGTCATGACAACTATTTCAATCTAACGCAAAAAACTACACTACCTAATATTTTAATTTCGTTTCTCTTGGTAAATTCTTAGTAGACCTTCAAACATCTTTTATAAAACTTTTATATAACATTTCTACAAATCTGAACTGTCCCAGAAGGAGTTGATGTTCAATGGTCCCTAACTTTATTCAGGCTTAACTCGTTAGAACAGTCCCTAGATCAATCCAGCAGATTATAAAATTCTCCGTTTGAGAGGAAGATTAAGTAACAGGTTCTAGTTTGGTCCCCGGATTAGTAACGGCACCATTCAACAATATCTGACATGAAGTTCTAATCACAGTCAGATTAAAATACAGATCTTTATTCGTTTCGTTTTTATTTTTACTTTTGACGGCCTACACTACATGAAGATCTGATCAGTTGTAGTGGGAGGTTGTGTTATGGGTCATACAAGTGGCTTTTGACCCTTTGACGTCAGACATTGATTAATCAATTAGCATTGACGTTTCTAGTGGTTTACCCACAGTTCCGTGCAGAGCACGCCAAGAACTCGCCATAACAGACCATTTCATTGGCTAATCCCTCACATCAACTAGAACGCCTGTTAGATAACAACTCTTCCAGATCCTTTTGAACTATAAAAAACGAAACGAAATAGGATCTGTGATTTAATTTGACTGTTCTAATTATGGATTCTATTCAAAAATTTCTCTCCATTATGATGCCTGGGGTAATTTGCTTTCAGAAAATTTGGTGCCCTTTTCAAATCTGCCAGTTAATCATTAATATCATTAAGTGCTGTTTATTTAAATATCAATTATTATTTGATTGTCCAACAATAACCCTAACCCCGGTTCCTTGAAGAAAAGTAATATATTTTATACCTGCATGTTCAAAAAACCACCCAAAACTATCACTCTAAAGACTGCCTCACACGAACCGAAATATGTAAACAACTTTTCATTGAGGGTTGTATATATGCCAATTCTTGCCAGCACCACATAGGCTATTCAAGCAGCCCAAGTGCTAAATGGTTAACCTTCAAGGCAGAATCCGAGATTTTCTTACCCTCATGTTGCAGGCGGTGTCAGACAGAGAGAGAGAGAGAGAGAGAAATGGGGTTATACGTCCACTCAACACAAACTAGGTCATTTCGGGACTAACATATGGTTTAATTTTATTTCAATAATTCGCTTGCACGTAGGGGTCTTTAGCAGTGGGAGGAAACCGGAGGACCCGGAGAAAACCCACGAGGTTGGACAGGTGACCCTACTCCTTGTCACGTACAACTGGGGATTCGAAACCACGCCAGTTGACTCAATGACAGGCTTTATGATAAAGTGCGCACGTGCTAACCATTCGGCCATCTACCCCCACCCCCCTCGGTGTCAGACAGCCCCAGTGTTAATGGTTTAACCTTCAAGGGAGAATTGGTGATTATTTTACCCTCATGTCTTCTGGAACAGCTCACAGAACGAGAACGAATCAAATACGAATAAAATAAATTGTCCGCTTACCCTGCTATCACTATAAAACAATCTAATTTATTCCAGGAATCTCCGAGATAAGCGTCCTTTCCAAATATACCCATCGCCATCATTTTGATCACCATCTCAACGGCAAAAAAAGCAAATATGAAATGGTCGAAGGCTTCGAGAACACGACATCTGTTGGTGGAGCAGACCTGGTCATTACATGGTTGATACATTCCCAGGGTTATACAGTTTAATAAGATGACCATCATACTCGCTCGTTCAAACCATGTATAAAGTGAGTTAAGGTAAATAATGCACAGTTTTTGTATATATAAACATATATTACATTATATTCATATTATAAAATACATTAAAATATAGGCCCTGAATTATGAGTCTCAATCATTCAGACTCATAGTCCCATATAGTTATAAAATAATATAATAAAATACATTAAAATAGGCCATTAGTTATTAGTCTCAATCATTCAGCCTCATAGTCCCATATATCATATTATAAAATAATATAATAAAATACATTAAAATAGGCCATTAGTTATTAGTCTCAATCATTCAGCCTCATAAAGTCCTATACATCATAGGCTGAAACATAGAAACATTCAATATATGTATATTCACAATAAAAGCCATTAAAATAGGCCTTGAATTATGAGTTATTAGTCTCAATCATTCAGCCTCATAGTCCTATACACCAGGCTGAAACATAGAAACATATACACAACAAAATACATTAAAAAAGGCCATGAGTTATGAGTAATTGTCTTAATCATTCAGCCTCATTTAGTCCCATACATCATAAGCTGAAACATAGAAACATATATGCAACAAAATACATTAAAATAGACCATGAGTTATGAGTTATTTATCTAAAAAAAACAACATGAGGTTGTACTCCTTGTCACTTACAAGTGGGGAATCGACACCACACCTATAGACTCAATGACAGACCTTAAGATACAATGTGCACATGCTAACCATTCGCCCCCCCCCCCCACTGGAGGTTTATAAGATTTGTAAGATAATAATATATCTTATAAATTGATATTCTTTCGAATCCCTGGTTGTACGTGACAAGGGGTAGGGTCGCATGTCCAACCTTGTGGGTTTTCTCCGGGTCCTCCGGTTTCCTCACACTGCTAAAGACCCCTACACGCAAGCGAATTATTGAAATAAAATTGAACCATGCGTTAGTTCCAAAATGACCTAGTTTGTGTCGAGTGGACCTAAACCCCATCTCTCTCTCTCTCTCTCTCTAAATTGATAAAAATATTGGTACTTTAACCTTCATATCTTTGTCTATCACATGATGATGTATCTTCAATATGTTCCTAACGTCTGCTAGCTTCTCTCAACCAAACGACAAAACCCCTTATCTCCGATCTCTATTTTTACGATTATATTCTATGATTATTACGGTGATTATTTTGATGGCAAGAGTCTTTGATAACCAGTAAGATAAATCCCCTGTGATAATTGATCTGACATTTAACGCAGACCTATCAAGGGAAGATAACTTAGCGTGGTAGACGTGCGTCAATTCTTATCGTGGCAACAGTATAGTTGTTTTAGTAATGATCAGATATTGTTTGCCGCCAACCAGACATGTGACATGAAGATATTTTTATAAGAAACACTGAGCTAGACCAGACGTGATTGGTACTCTGATTTATTTTCATAAATTGAACTTTAGTTCACATCTGTCCGAAGTCATACACATAATAATACATAGCCACATGATTTGAACCTTTGATCTTCAAGAACTTCTGTGTGTGTGTGTGGGTGTGTGTGTGTGTGTGGGCGGGGGGATTGGACCCTACTGCCCTAGCCTCCGCCGCTTATTTACAGGATAAAATAATTATTTATCGTCTGTTTCTATACAACCTGTAAATTTGAGAGAGAGAGAGAGAGAGAGAGAGATGGGGTTTAACGTATATATACGTGACACAAACTAGATCATTTCGGGACTAATATATGGTTCAATTTTATTTCAATAATTCGTTTGCGTGTAGAGGTCTTTAACAGTGTAAGAAAACCGGAGGACCCAGAGAAAACCCATGAGGTTGGACAGGTGACCCTACTCCTTGTCACGTACAACCGGGGAATCGAAACCATGCCAGTTAACTCCATGACAGACCATATGATACAGTGCGCACATGCTAACCATTCAACCATCCAACCCCCCTGTAAATTTGAGATTGGGAATAAGATGGGTGAAGTAGATGATGAAATTTAATAATCGATTCCAGATAATGTGAAACAAATCACTGTTGACAGCCCGATTATTCAAAATTTCAGCCAAAGCAACAATCAGAAATTTTGATAAAAAATGTGACCAAAGAAAAAATTAACTATATGTTAGTTTCAAAATGATTAACCTTCATCCGTATATAAAATAACCACATTTTAGTCTCAAAATAACTAATGAGACATTAACCTTCATCCTTATATGGGGCGTTGGGTGGCTGAATGGTTAGCGTGCGCGCGCTGTATCATAAAGTCTGTCATTGAGTCGACTGGCGTGGTTTCGAATTCCCGGTTGTACGTGACAAGGAGTAGGGTCGCCTGTCCAACCTCGTAGGTTTTCTCCGGGTCCTCCGGTTTCCTCCCAATGCTAAAGACCATATGTTAGTCCCGAAATGACCTAGTTTGTGTCGAATGGACGTTAAACCACATTTCTCTCTCTCATCCTTTTTATATAAAATTACCGCATCTTAGTCTCAAAATGACTCAGGCTCTGTGTTGACAAGACGTTGCGCTTCATTCCCTTTTCTTTCCTTTCATCACAAGGTGAGATCAACCAGTCCAAATTCATTGAGTTATTATACAATAGGAAGAATCAACATCATCCAGACGCTCTAGATAACTGATAAAAACTGATAGCATCAATATAAGAATTCTTGTTAAAAGACTGGCTTGTTTTTTTTTCTTGTTATGTAGCGTTTTAATAATGGTTTTCGTTAAACGCCCTTGGGCGATAATTGATAAACGGTCTTTGTGCTGACAGAAGCGCGGAATCTAAATCTATGTGTTCTTCTCTGTAAGAGGTAAAAAAAAAAACTCCGACAATTGTTTTCTGTATTAACAGAAATAAGACATGTGATTATTTCTCGTAGAATCATTAGGAAGGAACTCGGTGAATTCAAACTATGGAAAGTAGATGACAGACATGATGATAGAGTTCACCTCATGTGACCTAGTCTCAGCCAATCAATAACCTTTGTTTATTCATGGTAATCGTTTCACGGAGAGAGAGAGAGACAGACAGACAGACAGAGAGAGAGAGAGAGGGAGAATTTAACATCTACTCGACACAAACATATGGTTCAATTTTTTTTTCAGTAATCTGCTTGCACATAGGGATCTTTCGCAGTGGAAGGAAACCAGTGGACCCGGAGAAAACCCACTAGATTGGAGAGACAACACCACGCCTTGTCACGTCCAACCTGGGAATCGAAACCATGCGACTTGACTTAATGAAAGACCTTATGATAGAACATGTGCATGCTATCTATTTGGCCATCCACCCCACCCCATGCTCAGACTAAGGAACTAATAACTTCTTTATTATTTTTTTCTAATTGTCGAAAGTATAAAAAAACAAAAACAAAATATAGATCTGTATTTTAATCAGATTGCAAGATTAAGGGATCCCTTGCATACTCCCATAAAAATATACGAGGAATTGAAAATTTGTCAACATCGGCATCTATCCCCTTTATTCCATCACCATCTGTTACCATGAAATAACGGATGAAGCTTTATTCAAAACCTACGATCTTCTACCAATAAAACCCTTTTTAATATTCTAAAATCAAACAAGACGGACTGTCCTTATTGATTGCCCGATTCCACGTAATGCTGCAAGACGTTGGAATAATTATTCATCTAAAACATCTATATAATATGAGAATATACAGATCACAATTCTATGTAATACAATTATTGCTTGTAACTGAGCGTCGTTTCCACTAGGCTTTTCTAGTCATTATCAAACCTATAGTCTAAATGCAATTAAAATAATCTTTCATCTAAAACATCTATAAAATATGAGAATATACAGGTCACATATAATTAATGCTTATTACTGAGCGATGTTTCTACTAGGCTTTAGTCTAGTCTAAATGTAATTAAAACAATTTCTGTGTATATTATCTAACTAACTGTGATATTTAATTTTTTTATAAATAATTTACGGATGTACTAAGCTTCTCTAGTCATTATCAAGCAATGATAAAATATTAAAATATAACAAGACAATATAAACATGTATAAAAACTACTTGGTTAATGCGGATCAACCAGAGCAACCTAGTTGAAACGTCTCTTAGTAATAAGCAGTAATTGTATTCCATAGAATTGTGACCTGTATATTCCAGTTCAATTATTTAATGCCATTGAAACAACATATGAGAATTAAACTGTGTTTTTTTTCCTACATTTAAAACAAAACCACAAAACTTCTCTCTTCAAACAATATAAACCTCAAAACTTCTCTTTTCAAACAAATGATGGCTACAGGAAGCCGTGAAGCACTAAAAAAACATAGTTATTTGAAGTAACATATAGCAATATGAGAAAGAAATGGCGTTAAAGTTCTGGACAACATCATCCTTTGGTTATTGTGACACTAAAATAAGGTGGTGTTTTTTTTTCAGTGGCCACAAGAGAGGAGAAATTTGCATACTCTTCATTGAATTACAACAGTCAGTTTCTTTTTTACGTACATAGATAAATCTGGTCTGTTTGTACCAACCGAAGGACTAGGCATGATATTAATTGTCCGTCCTGCAGGGGTTACCCCTAACAAGTAGGGACATGGCTTCAAAACTCCCTAGTTTCTTTTTTAGTCATGCCAAAAATCGAACCCTTAACATTCCAGACAAATATTAGACAAAAATTCATGGTACTATGTGCGCACGTTAAAGATTCCTTTGCAGTTGGAATTTTAAGAATAGTAGGCAAAAATCCATGGTACTATGTGCGCATGTTAAAGATTCCTTGGCATACCACTGTGCGTAGAATTGCAACAAAGAGCGAAACATTTTATACAAACATCCAATCATTATTTCACCAACGATCACATGGTACAGAAATGGACACTTTGTGACCACGCGATGTTTGGGTCAATCATGTAACATTGATCTCTTTTGAACATTCTTCGTTTTGTGTTTTGTTAGACGCAAACAAATGTTAGTCAATCTGTGGCTTTAGCTTTGTTGGTGCTGAAAATGGGACGTTACATGTTAAACCCCTTTTTCAATGTCAAATT